TCTACATTTCCTATACTATTCTTAACCTCCCCCTGTCTATTTTCTACCTACCATTTATGCTACTTATTCTCTTTACCTTTTCCTCCTCCCTATCCCGCCTACTCCCCCACTGATAACCTTCCATCTGATCTCTGTTTTTGTGATTCTGTTCCTGTTCTAGTTGTTTGCTTAGTTTGTTTTGCTTTTGTTTTAGGTGTGGTGGTTAATGATTGTGACTTTGCTGTCATTTTACTGTTCACAGTTTTGATCTTCTTTTTCTTAGAGAAGTCCCTTTAACATTTCATAAAATAAGGGCTTGGTGATGACAAACTCCTTGAACTTGACCTTATCTGAGAAGCACTTTGTCTGCTCTTCCATTCTAAATGAAAGCTTTGCTGGATAGAGCAATCTTGGATGTAGGTCCTTGCCCTTCATGCCTCGGAATACTTCTTTCCAGCCCCTTCTTGCCTGCAAGATTTCTTTTGAGAAATTGGTTGATAGTCTGATGGGAACTCCTTTGTAGGTAACTGCCTTCTTATCTCTTGCTGCTTCTAGGATTCTTTCCTTTATTTTAGTCTTGGCTAATGTGATTATGATGTGTCTTGGTGTGTTCCTCCTTGGGTCCAAATTCTTTGGGACTCTCTGAGCTTCCTGGACTTCCTAGAAGTCTATTTCCTTTGTCGGATTGGGGAAGTTCTCCTTTATTATTTGTTCAGATAACGTTTCCACTTGTTGTTCTTCCTCTTCTCCCTCTGGTATCCCTATAATTCAGATATTGGAATGTTTAAAGATGTCCTGGAGGTTCCTAAGCCTCTCCTCATATTTTTGAATTCTTGTCTCTTCATTTTGTTCTGGTTGAATGTTTCTTCCTTCCTACTAGTCCACACTTTGATTTCAGTCTTGGTTTCCTTCCCATCACTATTGGTTCCCTGTACATTTTCCTTTATTTCACTTAGTATAGCCTTCATTTTTTCCCTCTAATTTGTGACCAAATTCAACCATTTCTGTGAGCAACCTGAATACTACTGTTTTGAACTGTGCATCTGATAGGTTGGCTATCTCTTTATCACTTAGTTGTATTTTTTTCTGGAGCTTTGATCTGTTCTTTCATTTGGGCCATTTTGGGGGGCTGGGTCTTGGCACACCTGTTATGTAGTAAGGAACAGAGCCTTAGGTGTTCACCAGAGCAGGGCCACCTATTTCACTGCGTTGTGACACGGTATGTGGGGCAGGGGTCTGAGAGGAAATAATGCCACTTGCTCCTCTCTCTGCAGGATTTCAGTCACTTCCCCCACTACCCACAAGCAAATTGGGCCCATCTGGTGCTGATTCCTGGGTGGGTGAATTTGTGTATGTTGTAGGACCCTGTTGGTCTCTCCAATGGACTCTCCTGTGAGGCTGGGAGTTTCTCCCGCTGCTGCCTCAACCCCCACAGGTGATTTCAGGCAGAGGTTTGAGGCTTTATTTCCCCGAGCTGAAACTCTGGGTTGCGTGGTCTGTCTCACTCCCCAGTTGTTCCTCTCAGTTTATCTGCACACAAATGTGGGACTGCCCTATCGGCCAGCCACTGCCTTGCCGAGAGTCTTCTCTGCCCAGCTGCCCATCTCCGCCCCTCTTACCAATCTGAATGAATATTTCTTCTTTAACTCCTTGGTTGTCAGACTCACATACAGTTTGATTTCCTGTCAGTTCTGGTTGTTTTTTGTTTTTAAATTTGTTGTTGTCCTTCTTTTGGTTGTGTGAGAGGGCACAGTGTGTATACCTACACCTCCATCTTGGCCAGAAGTCCCTGTCTCAAGCTGTTTTCTCAAAGACCTGAGTCCTTACCCTGCCTGGGCCCTGCCCCACATTGAATGGCCTCAGGGCAGAAGCAGAGCTCTGGGATTCTTCCAGAAGCAGCAGGGAGCATAAATAGTCTCCACAATCTTTCAGCAACAGATCCAAGTGGTGTTGGGTCAGTCCTCATGGCTCTGGGTCTGCTGGTGGCCATCAGTCTGCCCTTGGTCATGCTCTGGCTGACCCTGTGGGTTCCACGGGCTGCTGTGCTTGACCACAGGCTCAGGGACAATGTTTCCACACAGGCCAGGGACCCTAAATTGCTTTGGAAAGTGGGCATATGGCAATATACATGGCCACCAGGTATAAAGAAATGCTCGTTTTGTCATATGCATCAAAGGTCCTAGCAGGTTCCCACTGGCCAAACATCCTTCCTACCTCTTGGTAAGACTGAAGTAGGTCTGAGAATTGAATGGTGTCTGACTTGTCCCTTTAATAGCTAGAGAGCTGCATCATTTACCAAATCAGATACTGTTCACAAAATACCCATTACCCCCCAAATCATCTCTTTGGTAATGTACTTGTTTATTGCTACTAGTGAAGGGATAAGGGGTGACATCTTTTCCATTAACTTTAGTGTTTCATCTGCCTCAGAGTAGTCTGTGCCAAAGCCAGGCTTGAGCAAACTTGCAAAGACAGTTTAAAAAGTAAGAATAGTATTTACTGAGCACTAATAATTGCTTGACACAGATAATATATTTATCAATAATATCAATATCCATCAAGAATAGAGTTGATTGAGTACCTAAGGCACTGTATAAAGAGCTTTATGTGTATTTTCTCATTTAATCTTTACAAAACTTCTATGAGATAGGAATAATTGTTATCCTTGTTTTAGAAATGAAGAAACTGAAGGTCAGTGAGATTATGGAAATTTCTCAAAGGAACCTAGACAGTAAGTGTTGGAACTGAGTAAATATTAGAGTCAGGATTAAAATGTAGGCCTGTTAATCCAAACTTTATATCTAGCTCTCTAGCCAACACGTGTTTCTAACAGCTATGGGGTACAAAACAGTTGGCTGTAGGTGGAGCAGTTTTCCTATAATCATGCCAGTAAGTCTAGAGTGTTCCAAGATTTGAGATATCACAATATATGGAGGGGGGGACCCAAAAAACCTCAGAATTTATTTATAAAAATTGTGTTATTCTTACATGTTTAAGCTTGAATCACCTTCAAAATACTTTCAATTTGATGCAATGCACCTATTGAGATGTTTTTCCACTGCTCAGAACAGTTTTTGAACTCATTAATTTTGATGGCTTTTAGTGCTTCTGCCTTTTTTTTTGTTTCACCTCTTCCACATCAGCAAAATATTCCCCTTTGAGGACTTTTTTCATCCCGGGGACAAAAAAAGTCACTCCCAGTGAGATTGGGTGAATAGGGAGGGAAGGGTAAGGGGGTCCTGCTGTTCTTGGTCCAAAACTTCAGAACATTCAGTGGGCAGGTGTGCTTGTAAGTCACCCATCATGAAATGGGGAAACACATTGAAAGAGTCTTCTAAAAAAATTCATTGAAGCTGCATGCAGCCTCTCACAACAACACCAGCTGGCACACTGATACAGCTGGGTTCCTAGAACACAACGCTCACCTAGTATGGGAAGCCTGTACTACAAGAGGCCTGTCCTCCAGAAGATCAGTCTGGTTTTTTTTTGTGGGGGGGTGGAGACACCCTTGTAATCACATAGCATGGCATAAAAGACTCTTTGTGGTCTAGTCCTTGACTATATCAGCAACCTTCAACACTTACCTTTGATTTTTGTGCCTCGTAGAACCACACTGCTTCTTTTGCCCTCAGAACCACATGCTGTACCTGGATTCCTGCCAAGACCTACTATTCTCTTTGCTTCAAAAGTCCTTCTACTTTGATTAACTGGCACATTCCCTTAAAATCCAGCTAAAACATCACCCCACCCAGTAAACTTACCCTAACTTTCTTCTGACAACATTAACTATTCTGTGCTCTGTATTAACCTTTGTACTTTATATAAAAATGTCTTGTTGACTCATTCATTCAACATTGAACAGTATTTCTTCCAGGCACTAGGCTAAGTATGAAGAGACAGAAAGTCAAATAACACTTTTGCAGGGGGAGGACAATGTACCAAAGCATAGACATACTATTGGCTACTGCCAGTAGTTCCCACCACCAGGGGAGGGCAGAGATAAGGGTATGCAAGCAAAGTGTGAAAGGGCATTCTGATTCAGCCCCAACTTAGGAATCAAAGTTGATCTGTTTGTGGAAAATAAGAGCTGGTGATCCAGGTGGGTATTTATTTGAATCAATGTCTATGCTGTGGAACAGGATGGCATCTATTCAGCATCTTGGACTGATTTTGAGCTCTTGTAGGGAAAGGAGTTAGGACCAACTCTAAGTTGTTTTTGGAAAGGATATTTTGTGATACTCTGGGCACAGGTCGAGCTGGCTGTGGACCCAGGGAAGGCCATTCTCCTCACTTCCACATAGAACCCACACTGCTGCAGCATCTTGATGGCAGCTTTCAGCACATTGGGTGGTAGCCCTGGGATAGGAATACTGGCATTTTCACAGTGGGCCCTATCAGCAGTAGCAGTGGCAGGGTGGGTAGCACCCTTAAATGATTTCATGAACAGAGTGCATTAAAGAGAGGGAACCAGAGCAAGAAGGGAAGAAAAGGGTGGAAGCTACATGAAGAATTGTGGCTGACAGACTAAATTCATGAGCCTGCTATGATACACCTGGGACTTTCCTCTGAGAGCTGGGCAAGAGTGTGGATTCTGGGCCACTAGTATATGAGTATATCAACATATTAAAACCATATGTATAATCTTAATTATAACCACAACCTGAGTCCTGGAGATGTGTGAGTTACACTTTTTTATTTGCTATTAAAAAACTGTGTCTTGGAGGGAAATGGAGACATCTGTACTTGAACAACAATTTAAAAAATTATTGAAAAAAGAAAACTGTCTGATTCATCTTTACATCCCAGGACCTAACACAAAGCCTAAGATACATCAACTGCTGACAAAATATTTGTGGATTAATTTAAAAAGAAGTTGGGAGGAGTCAGAGAAGGGTGGGTGGGGAGCATCACATGTACAAAGGATATGGACTGTGGGTTCTGACCCCTTTTGGTTCTGCCGGCATTTGTGAGGAGGTGCTGACACAAATTCCGTGACAGTTAGAAGTGAACTGACTGCCAAGATGAAGAGGAGGGAACAATTAGTCTTGACCTTCTACAGTCCTGAGGTTCCCAAACTTAAGGGAAACCGGAAATACCAAAGGGTGAGGAGGTACCTAATTACAGGTCAGATGGAAGGAAGAGGACTTACTTAAAGGTGGACCTAGGGAGAGTGTCCTAAAAACAGAGAAAAGATTACCTTTTTGTTTTTTATAGAAGGGACGGGGTAGATATCCACAAATCAAACACACATGGGGACACTCAAGGTAGAGAAGCGTAGGTGACCCTGGGGATCAAGGGTTACCTTTTTGGGCAGGCAATGTTTCCCTTGTCCTTGTAGCCTACCCTCCCCACCAACAAACATCCGAGTGCCTCGATGCCACCCCAGAGGCGGCAGCAGCATGTGGATCAGACACACACCTACATCCGAATGTTCTGTGGCAGCCTCTGTGGTTTTAGCCTCCTAATGCTGATCTGCGTGTCCCCACTGAACTGGGTGCAGTTCCTGGTGATCAAGAATGGCCTTCAGCTCTACTCAGGACTCTGGATCTCATGCAGCCATGAGCTGTGCTGGAGCCACACACTCAAGCCACCCTGTGAGTGCCACTAAGTTAAATGCCACAAGCCCCACAGTTTCAGAGCTTTCTGCCACATTGTCTTTCACCTTTCTTCCTCCAAGATCTTTTGGCCTTTACGTCTCTAAGTCCAGGGTGGATCTTGCCAAATTGTGACTATAGCCATCTTATCTTTGGTGTCCTCAGTGTGTCCCCTCTCTCTTCTTTCTCAGGATGTTTCTTCCCCCAAACAACGAGCTGATATTCTCTTTACTCTCTGGGAAGAACTCTTTTGTCATTTACAAGCTGTTACTGTGAAGCAATGTGATTAATATTCAAATGTATAACTGTGTTCCCAGGCTAAAACTCAGGATTTGAGATTATTGTTTAAATTTTTAATGAGACAGAATCTTGATATTTTGTCATTCAAAGTAGCAAATCGTTTATTTTTCAGAGCCTTGAGTTCACCTGAAGCCAAATGTTAATGGTGTAGAACAGGGGTGTCAAACTCATTTTCACCAGGGGCCACATCAGCCTTGCAGTTGCCTTGAGAGGGCCGAATGTAATTTTATGACTGTATAAATGTAACTGCTCCTGAACAGTTCAGCAAGACCTCAGTGCTGCCGCCAGGTAGAAACAAGGTGCCAGGCTGGATAAAACAGGCCGGATTTGGCCCACAGGCCTTGTGTTTGCCGCCTGTGGTGTAGAGAAAGTCAACTAAGTCCTCTATGTACACAACTGTCCCCACCCTGCTATTTCCAATGTTAACTAGTCCTAATTCTAGGTTCAGTCTATAATACAACTCTCTCAAGGAATTCCCAAAATATAATTCATATGCCAAGGCTTCCTCAGTCTGTGACAATAATACACTATTATTACCCAAATCCAATATTATCCAAATTCAAGAACTTTAAACTTTTACCTGTTGGATTGCAAGAGTTTAGCCCCAGCTCCCATGGTATTCCCTGTCATTTCTGGGAGTTCCACAGAGGCTGTCCCTTGTGGACTCAAAATGTGTGTGTGCTCATGTTCCTCTGTCCTGGACTTGCTCTAGACCACTGCCCCAGGCTCTGACCTCACCAGGTTCTAGATGACTGTTAGACTCTGCTATAGCTGTTGCTGATGGGCTGAAGAAGGGTTGGGCAGTAGCAGACACCAGCCCTCACATTTATTATTAGGTCTGAAGTGTGGGATAGACTCCTTTGTTAATTCCCTTGGAGTGTAGCTAAAATCAGAATGTAAAGACTACGTTGCCACAGAGACTAACTTTAACTGTACTGCAGAGGGTAGGGAAGATAAGGTAGCTGTTTTCGTAAAGGCACTGGGTGCTGCAGGCCAGGGCCCCAGGAACCACTATACATTAAACATCACCAGGTTGTAGGAGAAGCTTTATTCTGTCATCAAGGTCACCAAGGAACCCGGACACTAGGCAGATTTTACAGCTTCCTCTACAGGGTGCTATGTCTCCATCCAGGATCTTTTCCAAACCACCTCCTGTGTGCACTTCCTCTGAGGGAGTTTTGTCTTGACCTTGTGTACCTGGAATGAAGGCACAGTAGCAGAAATGTGCAGGTTAGATTTGCCTAAATACATAGGCTAATCCCCCCACTTTGTCTCCAATAGTCCCACCTTCATCCTCATAATCAACATCCATACCCCACGTCCACCCACTAAACAGTTAAAACAGAGCTAGACCCATCCTTCACAGTTAAAACAGAGCTAGATCTTATTGAAACCCTGTCTCTCTATCCTGGTTTTGATTTTTGCTGAAGAACATAGGGTGCAGTGAGAGAGCCTGACACCAAATCTCTTTGGATCCACTGAGTAGCAGATGCTGGCTTCTCTCCTCTGATACTTTCTTCTAATGTCATCTTGGCTTTCCCACTGCTTCCTTTCAGGAGGTTGATAGCGCTAAAGGAGAACGTATACTGTTAACTGAGCCTGTTTGTTCACAAGAGCTGGTGGCTTATAGCCCTGCCTCTCCCACTTTCCACAACCTGCTGGGCAAGCTTTACTTTCACAACAGTAGAAGGGGATACTGCCCATCATTTACAAACTGCCAACTGAAAAACACTACTACTTTTCGGTTGGTTCATGTCTCTTCCAGGCTTGGTAGCTTTTACATCCTAACTGATGGTGCTCTGAAGTGCAGAATCACCGACCAAGATGATACTGAGAACACCAGCAAGGACCTTAACAAGTTTTTCAAGTGATTTGGACTTCTACCTCTCCAAATTAAGAGTGACATCACCTCTCTTCCCAGGGTATTAGATTCATTGTCTTCAGAACACTGGGAGGCTTGCCTTGCTACTCCTGCAGCCTAACTTCACATCACAATGTATCATTAAGGAAAGCTTCAGAAATGTTTGGATACAGGTGACCCACATGGATGTTCTGTCTATCTAAGGCACTCCTCTCCCTGGACCAAGTTTCTTACTCTCATGTACAAATACGATCTTTTGTACCTTAGGGTATAAGATTTTTTAAAATTATATTTTATTGTTTATGCTATTACAGTTGTCTCAATTTTTCCCTCTTTAACCTTCTCCACCCAGCACCCCTACTCCCTCAGGCAATCCCACATCATTGTTAGTGTTCATGGGTCATGTGTACAAGTTCTTTGGCTGCTCCATTTCCTGTATTGTACTTTACAATCCCAAGGCTATTCTGTAACTACCTATTTATACTTCTTAATCCCCTCACCTCTTCATCCATTTCCCCACATGCCCACCCATCTGGAAACCATCAAAATTTTCTCTCTATCCATAATTCTGTCTCTGTTCTTGTTTGCTTAGTTTGTTTTTTCGATTCAATTGTTAATAGATGTGGGGTTTTTTTTTGCCATTTTATTGTTCATAGTTTTGATCTTCTTCTCCTCTTTAATAAGTTCCTTTAACATTTTGTATAATAATGATTTGGTGATGGTGAACTCCTTTAGCTTTTTTCTTGTCTGGGGAGCTCTTTATCTGCCCTTAGGTCCTAAATATCTTTGCCAAGTAGAGCAGTCTTGGCTGTAGGTCCCTGCTTTTCATGACTTTGAATATTTCTTGCCAATCCCTTCTAGCCTGCAAAGTTTCTTTTGAGAAATCAGCTGACAGTCCTATGGGAACTCCCCTGTAGGTACTAAACTGCTTTTCTCTCTTTTTTAAAAAATATATTTTATTGATTATGCTATTATAGTTGGCCCATTTTTCCCCCTTCACTCCCCTCCACCCTGCACACCCCCTCCCACCCACATTTCCCCCCCTCAGTTCATGTACATGTGTCATACTTATAAGTTCTTTGTCTTCTACATTCCCATACTATTCTTACCCTCCCCCTGTCTAGTTTCTATCTACTATCTATGCTACTTATTCTCTGTACCTTTTCCCCCTCTCTCCTTCTCCCACTCCCCAGTTGCTAGCCCTCCATGTGATCTCCATTTCTGTGGTTCTGTTCCTGTTCTAGTTGTTTGTTTAGTTTGTTTTGCTTTTGTTTTAGGTGTGGTTGTTAATAACTGTGAGGTTGCTGTCATTTTCCTATACATGTTTTTTATCTTCTTTTTCCTAGATAATCCCTTTAACATTTCATAAAATAAGGGCTTGGTGATGATGAACTCCTTGAACTTGACCTTATCTGAGAAGCACTTTGTCTGCTCTTCCATTCTAAATGAAAGCTTTGCTGGATAGAGCAATCTTAGATGTAGGTCCTTGCCTTTCATGCCTCGGAATACTTCTTTCCAGCCCCTTCTTGCCTGCAAGATCTCTTTTGAGAAATCAGCTGACAGTCTGATGGGAACTTCTTTGCAGGTTACTGTCTCCTTATCTCTTGCTGCTTCCAGGATTCTCTCCTTCATTTTAATCTTGGCTAATGTAATTATGATGTGCCTTGGTGTGTTCCTCCTTGGGTCCAACTTCTTTGGGACTCTCTGAGCTTCCTGGACTTCCTGGAAGTCTATTTCCTTTGTCAGATTGGGGAAGTTCTCCTTTATTATTTGTTCAGATAACTTTTCCACTTGTTGCTCTTCCTGTTCTCCTTCAGGTACCCCAATAATTTGGATGTTGGAACGTTTAAAGATGTCCTGGAGGTTCCTCAGCCTCTCCTCATATTTTTGAATTCTTGTCTCTTCATATTGTTCTGGTTTAATGTTTCTTTCTTCCTTCTGGTCCATATCATTGATTTGAGTCCCAGTTTCCTTCCCATTACTATTGGTTCCCTGTGCATTTTCCTTTATTTCCTTTAGTGCAGCCTTCATTTTTTCCCCTCTAATTGGCGAACAAATTCAAGCAATTCTGTGAGCATCCTGATAACCAGTGTTTTGAACTGTGCATCTGATAGGTTGGCTATCTCTTCGTTGCTTGGTGGTATTTTTTCTGGAGCTTTAATACGTTCTTTCATTTAGGCTATTTTTTTTTTTTGTCTTCATGCACATAGTGAGGGGAGGAGCCTTAGGTGTTCACCAGTGCACTGGCAACCCATGTCACTGTGTTGTGATGCTGTATTTGGGGGAGGGGTCAAGAGGCAACAATGGTGCTTGCTCTACTCTCTGCCAGATTTCAGTCACTTCCCCTGCTTCCCCCAAGCAAATTGGGCCTTTCTGGTGTTGATTCCCAGGTGGGTCCGTTTGTGTACATTCTAGGACCATGTGGGTCTCTCCAATGAACTCTCCTGTGAGGCTAGGAGTTCCTCCCAGCACCTCAACCCCCACAGCTGTTTTCAATTGGTGTTTTGAGGCTTTATTTCCTGGCCCTGGGACACTGGGTTGTGTGGTCTATTTTGCTCCCCAGTTTTGCCTGGTTTATCTGTCCACGAATGTTGGACCACCTTGTCTAACAGCCACCTTGTGCACCGGGCCCCTCCGCAATCCGCCACCTCAGTGGATCTGCCCGCTGCTGCCCCATGAGCCTGGGGTCTGCCAGCTGCTGCCTTGCACACCCAGGGTTCACCAGCCACTGCTCTTTCTGCCTCAACCCCTCTCCACCCGGCCGCCTGACTCCGCCCCTCCTACCAGTCTGGATGAATGTGTCTACTTTAACTCCTTGGTTGTTGGACTTCCATGCAGT